AGTTGGCATCGTTTATGGTTGTGACTAGGACGTATCTGATCGTCTTCGATCCCCCAACTTTCGTTCTTGATTAATGAGAACGTCCTTGGCAAATGCTTTCGCAGAAGTTCGTCATCCATAAATCCAAGAATTTCACCTCTAACGATGGAATACGAATGCCCCCAACCGTCTCTATTAATCATTACTCCAATCCCGAAGACCAAMGAAATAGGACCAGAGTCCTATCACGTTATTCCATGCTAATATGTTCAGAGCACAGGCCTGCTTTGAACACTCTAATTTTTTCAAAGTAACAGCGCCGGCTCTGGATCCCAGCCAATAAAGGCAAGGAACGCATACCCGGCAAGAAAGGCGAAAGGGCAGGTACACGCCCGCAAGAGCGGACCAACCCCTCCCACCCAAAATCSAACTACGAGCTTTTTAACTGCAACAACTTAAATATACGCTATTGGAGCTGGAATTACCGCGGCTGCTGGCACCAGACTTGCCCTCCAATGGATCCTCGTTCAAGGAGTTTACGACTGTTCGCATTCCAATTACCGGACTCGAAAGAGCCCAGTATTGTTATTTATTGTCACTACCTCCCTATGTCAGGATTGGGTAATTTACGCGCCTGCTGCCTTCCTTGGATGTGGTAGCCATCTCTCCGGCTCCCTCTTCGGAATCGAATCCTCATTCTCCGTCACCCGTTACGACCATGGTAGGCCTCTATCCTACCATCGAAAGTTGATAGGGCAGAAATTTGAATGGAACATYGCCGGCTCAAAGGCCATGCGATTCGACAATTCACCATGATTCGCCGGAACAACGGGCAAGCCCGGATCGAGCTTTTATCCAATAAATACATCCCTTCCAGAAGTCGGGATATGCTGCACGTATTAGCTCTAGAATTACCACGGTTATCCGAGTGGTAAGGAGACCACCAAATAAATGATAACTGATTTAATGAGCCATTCGCAGTTTTTTTTGTTTTTTTTTTTTACCAACACACACACTCGCCCCTTTTATTCTGGGGGGCTCCAGTCCGGTTGCTTATTACCGGCAAGCATGGTTCAACACAAAACCTCAGAGAGAAAGAGGAAGGGGCCTACCTGCCCGGCCCTAGACACCCGACGGCAGGGGACTGCGACGGACTCCCTCATCTACGCGCAGTAGGCTTGTGGCAGACACAGGGCGGCTGGGAAACATCCCTAGAGTACCCAAACACCTACCTGGGCTGTCATAAGATCTCCCATGCCTGAGGGGGGGGAGTGCGCCGTAGTCAACCGACCCCCAAAACCAAGTATTACTGTTTGAAATTCCTTTGCCACGTAATAGTTTTACCTCTCCGGTCAGTCCGCAACACCTCAATACCGTATGACCACTGTTCAAACAATTGCATCCCTACTTACTTGCTTTATCTCTCCAACCACTGCGCCATTTGCAGTTTCACAGTGCAAAGTGTTCACACTYAGACGTGCATGGCTTAGTCTTTGAGACAAGCATATGACTACTAGCACGATCAACCACGTAGCGGGTGTGACAAGCAGCCGCAAGGAGCGATGGCCAAGGCGAACGTAGGCACGTCACGTCGGACAGCCTACCAAAAGAACRTCGAACAATCGTGGAACGTGCAATGAGCTGCCGACACGCCGTGAAGTCCGGCTGTTTGAATTGCAGGTGAACTTCCCTCCGTAGGCCATCTCCAACGGCAAGCTACCGCACAATCCAACACAGCCCGCCGCACCCGCCCAAGAGATTGGCTGAGAACAGCACCCGCCCACACCACACCCAGAGATCACAAGTTAACCACACTACCCGAACAACGGCGCGCGCAAAGGAACCACCGACAGCTTCGGCCCACGGCCGGATGCCACCGCCCGCCCAAAACGTACCGACAGAGAAGTGCACAGCCTCATCTCTCCATCTASAAACGAGGGTAAAGAGAGAAACGAATGCACCACGCTTCCAACACGCCCGGATGGACGGAAAGCCTCCACCTCTACACAGGGGCGCAAAAGGAACACAACCCCTCTCCCCCCTGGATCCACATCCGCCGGTTGCCGCGGGCACCACCAACAACACTCGACGCAGGTGAAACCCAGGAGAAAGAGGACAGTAGCCTTCGAAGCCCACAACCTAAACGCAGCAGAACCACGACACGACGCGATCCGTCACGGTGTGCAGCATACCGAGACCACAGGATGGGGGACACGACGGGCACAAGCGCGCATTCCAAGAAGTCGGGCGGATGACGGGCCCAGCCTCACGACGTCGTCGGAGGGTGCATCACGCATCCCACAAGTCTCCGCCCTCACATACGGTAAGCAGCGCGTGCATGGCCGAGGCCACCTGCGCCACCGCTCAGTGGCGCCGCTTAGATGGCGAAGAGCGCAGAGCATCCTCACCAAGTCGTGACACCCCCTCGACACAAACGGAACGCGCCGTCGTGAGTGCGGACACGAAGACGACACCACAACAGAGCCGCAACAGCTCTCCCCTTAACCTACGGGATGATGGTGCTGAAGCTGAGAGCCGGTGACGGGCACCTCCGCCTCCACACCCTGCAAACRACCGCCAACCGGACCGCCGTCGGCGATCAGGCGCCAATCATCGCAAGACGATGAGTGAGGGTGAATGCAACCATCCACAACCTGGCACCACGGCATAGGAAAGCCCCGACAGCCGCGACCGCCGCCAACGACGACCGAGCTGTCGTGAAATAAGCCCTCCGAGAGAGACGACCATGGACCCGAACGGCGCCGCAAAAATGTTCGCTCGAGCACCAAAGCACGACTCGCCCRTCCCTCGCAAACTGGAAACCACCCTAAAGAGTCCCTCGTAACTCGAGTACAAGGTCCCAAAACCCACGCCCGGAACGTCGCCTTCGTCGACTGCAAGGGGGCTGCTAAGCACGCAGGCCCCTATAAGAGTGCAAACCGGACTCCGAACCGCCAACCACCGACTGTTTGGCACATCCGGAGGGTGCTCACTGAGCCATCCGCCGAGGGACCTGCACATGTCCCTTTCCAGCAAGCTGACTGAACAGACCCCAATGAAGATGTGCCCCTCGGGACCTCATCCCTTTCCGCTCTCAGTAAGACGCCTCTGGACCTTCGATCCTGGGAGACCCCCTTTTCTCGGGGCCGTTCCTACGCCCGAGTGGCAGTGCGCGGTATCTGCTGCCCCCACAAAATTCGACACCTCAAAAGTCTGTCCCATCTCCGTCCCTTCCACACACAAAGGGATAAGGGGAAGGGCCGGGGAAAAAAAATAAATACATAAAAAAAAAAAAAAGGGACGAAACAAACAGAGAAAAGGCCAAGTAGCTTCTGTGCCTAGCGGCTCAGATTACGCCGCAGTGTGGGAGTGAAAAGTTTACGGGAAGTCTGGCAGAATCGTGCGTCCGTTGTGGGGTTATGTGTTGGTGAACATGAACGGACACGCACTCCAGAAAGAGAAGGGGGGAAAGAAAAGTCCAGGACAACTTGACAAAATCGTCATTTCAATTTGTGTCGGCCCGGAAAAAAACTGCATCCGGCAGAAGAAGCGAGGCCGAAAACCCGACGGCCATAAGCATTTCCGTGCATGTCCCGGAGAACACCATGGAGCCAATCAGGTACCGCCTCCGGTGAAGCAGGCTGCCATGATCACGAGCACGAGCGAGGAGGGCCGGATAGGGCAGGAAGTGGGCCGTTTGCCCCCGCCATGAACATCATTTGGG